AACCCAAACTCAGGCTTTCTCCTCCTCCTTTGGCTGGTTGGACAGGAGCCCAGATGGCCATGGGCATGAGCTGAGGTGGGGCACCGGGACGATGGTAGAGGGGGCTGTGCAGCCTCCTGTGCCTTATAGTTGGGCTCATGCTCAGTCCTGGCTGTGCCGTCTCCATCTTACAGTGGACTGATGCTGAGCCTGCCGGACCTTACAACTTGGAAGGTCTGACAAGACCCAGCTCACGATGGGGAGTTCTGGCTGCATGGTCACTGGGTGCCCCGTGGAAGTTTGTTTTGTTTTGTTGATTGGTGCATAGTTCTCTGCTGCAGATGGCACGACCTTGCTGGAGAACCCAGGGGTCTCATGGGGAGTCTCCCACGGGAGCTTGCCACCAACGTCACAAGGCAACTTTTCCCACTACTGAAACCTTCAGCACCATGATATCGGCTGGGTCCTCTGGCTCAGGTGGCAGAGCTGCTTGCTTCTCAGGTGACACAGGGCCACTTGCAGACTTTAGAGTGGGACAGCCTGAGTGGGGCCTTCCCCTTCGTTCTCAGGTGAAGATCTGCAAACTAAACGTGCTACGTTCTTAGAAAGAGAGACAGAGGAAGAAAATGATGTTGCCCTTGGTCAGCCCGTCTCGTATTGTTTTGGATCTTTTGATGTACGTATCTCCCAACCGACTGTGAGTTCCTTTGGGGCAGAATTAGAATCGCAGCTCCTCTATCTACATAGCTCTGTGATCCTGGGCAAGCCACCTCACTTCTCTGAGCCTCAGTGTCCCCCTCTGTAAAATGGGGATCATGTCAGAGCCCATGGCACGGTGGTGCTATGAGCATTGACAGAGAGAAAGCACACAGGCCCCTGGCACTGTGTCTGCACACAGTCAGCACTCCTTAAAGGCTGGCTGTCATTCGTCTCCCCTGTGACTCTCTGACAAAAGATCCCCCACCCCGACCCCAGCACTCAGTAACTCTGTGCTAATGTGTAAGTGGGTGTCAGTGAATTCCTGTAATCCTTGGGGTACATGTGGTTAACATGTGTGCACTTAATAGGCTCTCTACAGTGACGCTAATGATGTGTGGACTGTCTGGGGGCCGTGGGGGCTGTTTTCTCAAGTTGTAAACTCACCACTGCTCTGCTCCACCTTCTCCTTGGGGTCTGCAGCCAAGCTCCTCCGTAGCTGGGCGTCTGCCCACAGCCCCTCCTCACAGACGCCCACAGCCCAGGATTGCAGGTGTGTGGCTGTGGTCTGCATGGTGTGTACATATGTGTATGTGTGCTGTTCGTATGTATGACGTGTGCATGTATGTGTGTCGCTTCTGTGTTGTCTGCATGTGTGTGTCTTATAGTTAAGTCCCCAGAAGAAGGAAAGAGTCACAGACTGACCCTGCCTGGGTACCACTTCCTCACCCACCTCCTTATGGGCTCCCCACCCACCTCCCACCTCATGGGCTCTGACTTCCCTCCCTGCCTCCCCAATTCAACTGTGGGTGGCACCTGTGCCCTGTATCTCAGCATTTAACCAGGGCTCAATGCAGGTGCTCAATACAATAGTGCTTGCTTGCTAGTTGAATGTGAAAAAGCAGTCCTGGGATGGTCTTTTCTGGGCAGTGCTGCAGTGCCCTCTAGTGGATTTTCTCTGAACTTCTCAAGGTTTGTGGTTAACGCTAGTCCTTGGGCTGTCAAGCCCTGAAGTCTGTCCTGGGAATCCCTGTGTGCTTGATCCCCCCTTGCTGATGGTCGTTCCTGTGTCCTGCAGAACAGGTGGCTCAACAGGAGTTGAGGCTGTGTGGGGGCGAGGTCGGGGTCAGGCTGGGGAGGAGGTGGATGTCGGCAGACCAGATCCGAGCCTTGGCGGCCCAGGAAGGCTGGGCAGCAGGGGAAAGTCAGACCTCGCGCTTTCTCCCCATCATCCCTCGCTTCTCTTCTTTTCTTCTCAGGCAGAAATGAGTCAGCAGATGTCCTGATTCTGTTAATTAGAGAAAAGATTCCTAAAACAAGATGACACATAAAGGTCAAAATTCTTTTATGCCAGGGTGATGCTTGCACACCCACATCTCATCCATCAGCAGGTCTTGTTGGTTCTGGATCCAAAACACATTCCAGATCCATCCTCACTGCCAGACCAGTGCCCAAGCCAATCTCAGCTCCTGTTTGAGTCATCCCCATAGCCTCCCAGCTTACCCGCCCAGGTTCTGCTCTTACTCCACTACAATCTAGACTCCATACAGTACCAGAAAGTTCTTTTAAAGTCAGAAATCAGATCATGTTGTCACCTCTTTAGTAATGCTTCATTTGTCCCTCATTTTGCTTACAGTTAAATCCAAACTCCTTCCTGTGGCCTACAAGACCCTGTGTGTGAGGAAAGAATGATGCCACTCCAGAGGGCGGACCCAGGACCAAACGAAGGAGATTCAGAGTGTGAATTTTGACCCAAGCCAGGGAGAGATTTTCTAATAATCAAAGCTGTCCATGCTGTCTGCCCCAGGAGGGTAAGGTCCCGACGAGGAGTGCAGAACTGCTGCTTGGAGGATTCTGCATGGGGCTGGCTGGAGGCTGGAGTAGGTGATCTCCCCTTTGCCTTCCTGCACCAGAACTCCGAGTCCCTGGGAGTAAGAAACAGGAGGAAGAAACTCCCACTTTCCTGGTGGTGGTGAGATAAACATATAGAATCTGCACATAGGCAGGAGAGCTCTTGAGGAAGTGTCAGCCTCTGCTCCTTCTTAAACACATCTTCCAGCAAGGAGCTCAATACTCAATGGGGAGCATTTTTGGTTGGTGGACACTTCAAGTGTCAGGCTGGCCAAGTTGGTCTGCCTCCTGAAACTTCCTCTTCTTTGTCTCAGGTCTTCCCTCTTGCAGTGTTCTGAGTACCCTTCTAAAAGTATGCTGGAGACTGCGCTGTATGTTGGGGTCCTAAAGAAGGAAGGGGCAAACTCTGCTGTCAAGAAGTTCATGGGCTAGCGGGGCAGGGCTGGCTAATGGTAACAACACCTCAGAGATGCTTGGACTGGTGGGTAAGGGTAAGGGCAGAGTGCACGGGGACTGGAGTGTGTGAGAACTCAGCTCCAGCTGGGCATCAGCATCACCCAGGGGGCCATGTGGCTGTGGTACCCTGAGATTGCACGAGGAGCCCACACTTTGGTGGTTTTTAAACCTCCCCAGGTGGCTCTAAGGTGACTAAGGTTGTGGACCCCTTGCTTAGTTGGGAAGAGCTTCATCTTTGAGACACCTGCATTAGCATCCCAGTTTTGGCACTTGACAGCTGTGTGACTCTGGCATCTCCCTCTCCAGTCCTGTGAATAAGCCGGAGGACCAGGGAGGAGGGAGGGAGAGAGAGGGAGACAAGGAGAGATTTCTTGAGCGGTGTACCTGGCCAGAGGACGCCAGGGCAGGAGCAGAGTGTTTTTGCAAATGGGCACATTACACAGACCCAGCTGTACCCCAGGCCACGGGAACAGTTGTGGGCACCTGCTCAGTCAACTTTCCATTTCTGGAACACCTGCTATCAGAGTTTATTGCAAAAGGAGCCAAGACGGCACCTTTATGTGTGTAGGGAACACAATAAATCCTTATAAAACATTATGAAAGGGTTTTCAGAGCCACCCTATGAAGTGGGTACTATGAGTCTCCCATCCCAGAGAAGGAAATGGGTGCACTGAGAGGTTAAGGAGTGTGTCTAAGGCAACTTAAGTTTAGTGCTGGACTGGAATTAGAATGCAGACCTGTCTCAGGAGAGACTAGAATGCATCTTGCTTACCTGCCATCTAACTTAAGAAATAAAATATTACAGACCCAGTTGAAGCCTCTGTATTCCCCTCCTGACCCCCTTCCCTCTCTCCTCTCCAACCACTGTCCGGAATTTGGTGTTTATCATTTTCATGCATCTTTATATACCTTTACCATATAGGCAAGAATTCATAAACAGTACATAGCATCCTAGTGCATGTTTAGAACCTTTTCTAAGCAAGAGGCAGAGTAAAGAAATTCTCTTGCCACTTGCATTTTTCTCTCAAAATTGTTTTTGCCATTTATCCACGTTGATACATATGTGTCTAATTTATGTATTATCTTCACTTTTTATTTAATTATTTTTTATTGAGATACCATTGACATATAACATTGTATTAGTTTTAGGGGTACAACAAAATGATTTGATTTGTGTATTTTGTGAAATGATCACCATAATAAGTTTAGTTAACATCCATCACCACACATAGCTGCAATTTTTTTTCTTGTGATGAGAACTTTTAAGATCTACTCTCTTAGCAACTTCCAAATATACAATACAATATTGTTAGCTACAGTCACCATGGTGTACATTACATGCCCAGGACTTATTTACCTTATAACTGGAAGGTTGTACCTTTGACCCCCTTCACCCATTTCACTGGCCCCCTGCCCCCACCCTATGGCAACCACTAATCTGTTTTCTGTATCTATGAGTTAGTGTTTTTTTGTTTTTAGGTTCCACATATAATTTAGATCATATGGTATTTGTCTTCCTCTGTTTGAATTATTTCACTTCACATAATGCCTTCAGAGAACATCGATGTTGTCCTAAATGGCAGGATTTCCCTCTTTTTTACTGAAAAATATTCCTTTGCATATACACCACATCTGCTTTATCTATTCATCCATCAGTGGATGCTTAGGTTGTTTCCATGTCTTGGCGATTGTAAATAAAGCTTCCACGAACATTGGGATGCAGATATCTTTTCAACAGTGATTTTGTTTCCTTTGGATAAATATCCAGAAGCAGAATTGCTGGATCATATGGCAGATCTATTTTTAATTTTTTTAGGAACCTCCATACTGTTTTCCATAGTGGCTGCACCAATTTACATTCCCACCAACAGTGCACAAGAGTTCCCTTTTCTCCACATCCTTGCCAATGCTTGTTATTTCCTGTATTTTTGATAAGAGCCATTTTAACAGGCAAGAGGTGATATCTCATTGTGGTTTTGATTTGCATTTCCCTTATGATTAGTGGTGTTGAGCACCTTTTCATGTACCTGTTGGCCAATTGTTTGTCATCTTTGGAAAAACGTCTATTCAGATCCTCTGCCCATCTTTTAATTGGATGATTTGTTTTTGTCATCACTTTCCACAATCCACAACTCTGTTGATGGACCTTTAGATTGCGCTCAGTTTTTTACTCTTCTAGACAGTGCTGCTACAAACGTTTTTGTTCAGGTATCCTTCTGCACGCATGTGAGAGTTTCACACGGTGTACACTCAGGAGAGGAATTACTCGGCCGAGGGCATTGTGCTCCTCCAGTTCACTGTGCAGCTCACCCTCATGCAGTGTGCCAGAGTGTCTGTGGCTCTGTGCCCTCTCCCACACTTGGTGTTGCTTGATCTTTCACGTACAAGCTTACCTTCTTATTCTGTGCTTCACAGCCTCCGAGAACAACAGAAGAACAGTTACACAGGGAATGCATCTAGACTATGTTCTTGGCTAGTGCGTCCTCAGCAAAGTCTGGATGGAGGTTGCTAAGGCAAGCTGTGCCATGATTAACTCAGAACATCCTGCTATGAAACATGGAGTGAGAGACATCAAGGAATTTGGACTGGCTGGTTGCCATCTCCACCAACAATCTGCTTCAAGGCACCATCCTTTTGTCTTCACCTTTTGTTCAAGGGAATAAATAGGGAGCCCAGACTTTTAGGTTTGCCTGGGCTGGTCCAAGTTCATGCCAGTTGTCCCAGTGCCTCCTATGACTTTTCAAAGTGTTTAGGTTTGAAAGATAAATTACACAGTCACTCTAGCTATAAGAGTAGCAATTCAGATCAATTTCCTTTCCAAAGATTTCTGACACTCTGCTGTGGTCAAGATGGATATGATTGAGGGCTGCAGTGTGTTGCAAATTATAAGGGAAGAGTTGCAATTGTTTCTGCAACAACAAGGTTTAGGATGGAAGTAGGAGCTCTCAGAACCTTTCAGAGAGGGAGCTGACCACAGCCCAGAAGGCCTTTTGTGGAGTTCTGGCCGTGCTTCTTGGTCACTGCCCATGGGACAGCCGGCTTCAGGGGCAGGTGGTGCCGGGCAGCCTGGCGGGTGTTCCCCCTCCCGGTCTGCTCAAGATCAGAATCCGTTCCAGGCCACCAGACAGTGCTCCCTGCCAGCCCTTTCATGAAAACAGTTCCTGGATGTGCTTCGTGAGTTGTGGCCAAGCTCTTGTGACAACACCTCCTGGAATAACAAAGGGATCCTTTGTGGGCAGCCGGCTCCAGCTAACAGCTTGTGGATGGCTGGACTCCCTTTGGCACTTTCTTTTCTAGACAGCCCCCTACTCCCATCCATTCAGTTCAATACAATCTGGGATCCTAGGTAGATAACTGTGCCATTTGATCAACCTGAAGAGGTAGGTCAGGGCGGCCTTCCAAAATTAAAACTTCCGGAGGAAATGACAGAACACAATGGGAGGTCTGTGGTGGAGACAGCTCAGGGCATCAGCCTGCAGTGGTTCCTTTCCAGCATTGTGTCACCTCCCAGTGAAGGCCTCCAGCTTAGCAGCATGCTCATGTGGCAAAGGCTTATCCTTAGAAATACGTCCACAAAGGATTTCCAACTGAGCAGCCCGGGCGGCCTAGCCTCGTACTTTGAAGAGTGGACCCATTGAGGATCACTCCTACCAGTGGCATTTTAAGATTCCTCTGGGGGTCACCACCTCCATGAAGTCTTTGTTGAGCTGCCCGCACCCCCGCCTTGGCCCAGATGGTAGTGTACTTTCTTTTGTGCCTCCTCCATTATCCACTATGAGTGTGTGTGTGTGTGTGTGTGTGTGTATACACATCCATGCCTGTCACAGCACAATTACTGCCTCGAGGACAGTGACAGTATCTTCCTTATTTCCGTATTCCCCTTCATGCACTAGGAACTCAATAGAAGTTTGTTAAATGAGGAAATGAGTCAATCCTTCACCTAGAGAGGGTTAGTCCCAGAAACAGACTGGATAGAGGAACTCAAATGATATTGTCAAGTCTCTTTTTGCCTTCTGCATTTCTTCTCTGTCTCATTTTCTGTTATGCAGACAGATTGTCGTCATCTCCAGACTGTCTGGCAACGATGGCTACCAGCAAGCCCCCATTCACAGCATTTCAGCTCTGGGAAATGATGGCAGCTCCATGGTCTCGCCCTAGTTCTTTGATCACCCCTGGGGCCATGGAGTGGGGTCCACTGACAAGAGGGTGCACTAGAATCATACGATTGGACTGGGAGAGAAGCAGTTCCCCAAAGTAGGGAAATTGAGGTGATCCTGAAAAGACAAAAATCACAGACGTCCAGAGAAATAGCACTGAAGGCTTGAGGAATTTCGAGGAAGGCAGAGTCAGACCTGGAGACCAGGACTGCTCCTGCGAGGGATGACTCCGGCACCTCTAATAACCACGGCCGAAGGAGGTTAGGCCTGGCCAGGATTTATAAGGATCATCTCCTCCACAAGAACAGCAAGTGGTTATATACGCAGACTCTGAACATCAGTCAACAGTAGTGGATGTTTATTGAGGACCTACTAAATGCCAGACACCATGCAGGCCAAGAGGGGTCAGAGGTCAGCAAACCAGACACAACTCCTGCCCTCACATGGCTCACCATGTACTGGCTGCCCAGGGTCCACTGAAAGGGCCACCATGAGTGGGCCATCATTGGGTGGGTGGCCATCATTCAACAGCTAACACTCTTGGAACTGGGCTTGATGGGCATGGCCCCATTTCGTCCTAGCAATAGTGCTATTTTGTAGATTTTAGAATTTAGGGTCAGAAACATGCCCTAACTTAAGCAGAGAAAGGAAGAGAGGGAGAGAGGAGGTAGGAAGAGAGAAAGATTGGATAGTTCACAGAATTGAAGGAAAAGAGGAACAGCCAGGCTCTAGGATGGATTGGGACAGGACTGGAGCTTGCCATGGCTGTGTATGGACTCTGTCTAGAGGGCGCTGCTCCACCGACTCAGCACCAGTTCCCTTCAGTCCTTGGGATTTCTCTCAAGAGTCCAGTTCCCAGGAGAAGGCTCTGTCTGGCCTGACCTGGGCCAATGGCCACCCCTGTGATCGGGGATCGGGTTCTGTGATGGCCAACCCCACCATGTGGAGTGGAGGAGGGGCGTGTCACCCAAAGGAAGGGTGGGAAGAAGGAAGTATATGGGGGCAGACAAAAACAGCGGCTGTGTACCACCTAGGTGCTGTCACTATCTCCATTTTCCAGGTGAGGAGACAGAGGCTTAACGAGGTTATATGACTTGCTCAAGGTCACACTGAGGGTGTGTGACAGGACTTAAACCCAACCTGCTTGACTGCAGAGCCCACACTCTCAATCTCTATAGAAGGGATGGGTGACTGGTGGGGGCACCTCGCTTGATCACCAACAGAAACTTAACAGAATAACAGTGGTTAAGAGTTTGGGGACCAGTTAGAAGGTAATGGCAATCAAACAGGCAGGAAAGGAAGGACTAACTTATACCCAGGCAGTGGCTCAGATGGATCGGAGGACATGAATGACTGAAAAGCATGCAAAGAAATGTTAAGTGGCTAAACTCTGTCATGATTCATAACTAATAGGGTGTATGAAAGAAGGAAGGAGAGAAGTCTGTGCAGACACCCAGGTTCCTGGTGTGGGCACCTGGTGGATGGAACTGCCCTTCACCGACATACAGAACGCAGAGGGAGGAAGAGGTGGGGTTGGGGGTGGAAGGGAGAAGAGTAGAATTTTGGACATGTTGGATTTGAGGTGCCTGAAAGACACCCAGATGGAGATGTCCAGGAGCCAGTGGACAGATGGGGTCTGGAGAATGGGAAAGAGCTGTAGGCAGAGCTGGTGTCCCCCAGGGCACTGTGTGGTATGAGACCGACAAAGGTCTGAGGATGGAGCCTGGGGAACTCAGCATTCAGGGGTAGTTCAGAATACTTCCTGGGCTCTGCAGTTTCCTGAGAAGATATTGGGGAAGGTATCTCATTCATTACAGCACATCAGTACAATTCTTTCTGACTCTTCTTGCCCCGCCCCATCTCCCCACCCTGCCTGACGGGTAACTGAGTCTTAACTTTCCAGCGTGCGCAGCATTGCCTGAGCACAGCCTTGCTGGGCCTCCAGAGCATGCTTTATAACATTGCACATTTCTTCAGCGCAGCACTTCTTACGTATTATGATAACTTAATCAGTAATTATTTTCCCTGCTAGACCGGAAGCTCCTTGAAGGCAGGGCCATGCCTATCTCGTTCATTGTTGTATTCTGCAGGAGGTGGAGAACCTCTCTTCCCTTCTCCTTGCCCCTCCCCCCTTTCCAGGGATGCTGATTTACTTGGTCAGTTTCCAAGGCCCAGATAGGGACAGGGTTACAGTGTATTAAACCCACCCACAATCTACAATCTTCTGCTTCCTTCGCCTGTGCCACTGGATCAATAAGACAGTCTGGGCTCTCTCCTGCAGGCTGGCATCTTTTCCTCTCCCATATTTCCACATGAGTACCAGGGCACTTGAAAGGGCTCCTCATCTGGCTAGTAGCCCCTGGTAAGGCCCCAGTCTGGGCTGTGAGGCTGAAGGAGGTGCCCTAGCTGCTCAAAGTGGGGAGGGGCGGTGGGAGTGGGAAGCATTCACCAGCTAATAATAAAGTGCCATATTGGTTTCTCATTTATTTTTATCCTCATAGCCTTGGGAACTTTATGGAAAGGGAAGACTGTAGGGCTAGATTTGGCCATTCCTGGGTCCTCTGGTCAAATTCTAACTACTAGACCCTTCACCTCATTTAAGTCCTGCTCAGTGAATGAAGAAAAGAAGGAAGGAAGAAATGCACAAACCAGAGCTGGCTTCCACCCTACAGTGACCATTGGTGAAGATTTGTCCCCGGGAGCATCTGTCTTAGAGCATTCGATACAATGCAAACCCCAGGCTTTGCTCTTGTGTACAGAATCCACACACTGTGTGCCAGATGATGTGCTGTTATGACAGTTCCTGAGCTTCATCCTGATGCATTTTGAAAGGCCCCTGTCAATCTGCCAGCGAGTAGTGGTGTAAACCTCCATAACTGAGTGGGACGGAAGGTCTGAGGGGCCTGTTAGATATTCAGCATTTTCTTGGCCCATGAGTAACAGTCGCTCAAACTGTCTTCGTGTTGTATTCACAGCAACTCTACAAGTTGGGTGTCACATCTCCTTATTCTACAAAAGGGGACACTAAAACTCAATGGAATTCTGTAGTTTAGCAGAGCACTCAGCACTAGTAATAATAATAATTAACATTAACTAATAATAGCAAGTGGCACTACCATTTATTGAAGACCTACTGTGTGCTAGGTACTCCATTCAGGCTTTTACATATTTTTCTCATTTAATGGTCACAAGTGTCCCATGAGGTTGGTGTCATTATTTTAGAAATACGGAAATGGAGAATCAGAGAGATGAAGTGACTTGCTCAAGCAAGTCACAAAGCAAATTTAATATGAGATGGGGTCAGGTTTCTAACCTGGTCTGTCCGACTCTGAGGTCCTTCTTTCTTTTCTTTTTTTCTTTTGAGGAAGATTAGCCCTCAGCTAACTACTGCCAGTCTTCCTCTTTTTGCTGAGGAAGACTGGCCCTGAGCTAACATCCGTGCCTATCTTCCTCTACTTCCTATGTGGGACGCCTACCACAGCATAGCGTGCCAAGCTGGGCCATGTCCGCACCTGGGATCTGAACCGGCGAACCCCGGGCCGCTGAGAAGCAGATCGTGCAAACTTAACCGCTGCGCCACTGGGCTGGCCCCAGAGGCCCTTCTTTCTTTCCCTGTGCTTTCTCCTTCCAGCTGGGAGCAGGAGGTACGTGGAGGATTCTGTGAATCGCTGCAGGCACCCAGACAAGCCTGACAAAATGCATTCCAAGAAGGAAAAAGCTGCTAGGTCTGACCCCAGAGTGGCAGCTTCAGAAAACAGGGAGAAGAAAATGCCTCACTTGTACTGTGCCTGCTGGAACCCTGGAGGAGATCCGGGCCCATTTCTGGCTGGGCTGGGAAAGAAGCCTGGGATGAAATTGGCCAGAGCCAGTCCCTGGGCAGATGCTGGGGAGCAGGGGCAAGCGGGGAGAAGGGGCCGGGCATTCCCAGGACCCTTCCCCACCTGAGGAAGGGACAAAGGACCCACGCTGCCCAGAGACCTGAGGCAGGGCCTGGTGAAGGCCTCTAGTCTACAGAAGAAAGGAGAGCTCCCAGCAGGTCCCATGGACCCCGGCAGTCCTGAGTGGGCTTCTCTAGGGATCCTACCACATCAGATAGGGGAGGAGGGGAAACGCTAGATCAAAAAGTTTTGTTTTAAAAAGCAAATGTGATTGACTTACTCCTCTGCTTGAAACCTTACAGCCCATCAGGGGTTTCCTACCTCCCTTGGGCTGAACACCAAACTCCTTAATGCAGCTGGTGAAGCCGTCTGCAATGTGGCCACTGCTGACCCCACCACAGACTCCTGCACTGTCCCCCACCACCCCCCGCATACTTTATGATCTGGTGGTTCTCCCTATCTCTCCCTAACATCAGATCCAGCTGGGGAGCTTTTAAAACCCATCAGTGCCCAGGCTCTGCCCCAGGTCAGGATCCCTGGAGGTGGGCATCTTTCATTTTTAGAAATTCCCCGGGTGATTCCAATGTGAGTCTAGGGCTGAGAACCCCTCTGTCATCCTCTCTGGCCAACTCTTCATTTTCCAGGCCTCAGCCCTGTCTCAGCTCCATGTCTGCCTCCTCAGGAAGCCTTCCATGACTACTGTCACGGAGTTCTCCTTGGCAGGGGGGCAAGGTGCCCGTGTCTAGGCCCGTGCTCCGTAGTGTCCTGGGTTTGTGCTGTGATTGCCTGACCCTCGCCTTGCTCCTCCTCTGACTGTGACCTCCCTGAGGATGGGGGCCTTGTCTGTTGGCTCACTGTTGTCCCCCACACCTGGCACACAGTGACAGTTCAATAAATGGGCTGAAATGTCAAACATCAAGTTAAAATCTGTCTCCCTACAAACTTCCCTTAGTCTGCTGTTCCCTCCTTCCTTATTAAACATGAAAGCTCCAGTCTTTTCCATTTTTTAGCTCCCCCCAAAAGTCTATGGGCATTGGTCCTTAATTAGCACTTTGGATCCCTCTGGGTCCTCGCTGTCCTCTGGAGCAGGGAGCTGGCTCTCTGTTCCCTCAAACGTTAGTGTTTCCCCAAATAGCTCGTAGAAAAGGAAGCGCGGCTTCTCCACAAGAAAAGACAGTTTGCAAACAAGAGCTGCACAGGCAGGCTCAGAGGCAGCAGAAGCGTCCCCCTCTCTGGGAGATGTTTAAAGCACCTCCACTTAAGATCACAGCGAGCCTTAGTCAATACCCATCCATCTCCTCCTCCACCCTTCCTCAAGGGAAGCCAGAACGGAGCTCTTGTCAGAGAGGGTACCGCTGCAGAATAGCTTCAAGAGAATGGAGGGGATGATCCAGGTTGGATGGGAGGAAGATGAAGGGGGGAAGCTGCCAGCAAGGCATTAATTGGCTTTGGAACAGCTAAGAGCCTCGCCTGGGCCCAAACAACCCGAGGCAATTTCCGAAAGCAACTGTGGAGGAAGAGGCTCCACCTTTCTCACCTCCTTTGAATGGGCGGCTCGGAAGTGGCGGAAGGAGCCAGGAAGCCACGGGGCATCCTTCTTCCGCCAACTGCCCAGGGCCTGGAGAGAAGCCAGGCTGCCTGCCTCCTGGGGCTTGGGAACGTGCCCGGTTCCAAAGAAGCTGCAGCCCCCAGCTCCCCATCGTGGAGAGGAGGTGCTGACAGCGGCGAGTGCCCAGGCCCCACAGGGATTGGGGGAAAGGGATGGCTGCTGCCAAAGCACTGGGTGTGGACAACTAGTCTTTGTTGGATTTCTGGCTCCATTGACTTTCCTTCTCTGAGTTCAGTTTCCTCATCTGAAAATGAGGGTTTTGTTGGACCAAGTGTCAAAGGTCCCTTCTAGCCTCGCCTTCTGGGGCTGGTGAGAAAATGGGGGGAACAGAGGGAGAGAAGAGTGCAGGAGTGAAGAGAAAGACGGGCACGGAGCCTCCTGTCTGGGAGCATCTGGTGCCTGTACGTGGCATCAGGCTCTAGCCTGGAGGCCCAGTCCACAGAGGAGGGGTGGAAGGACTCCCTGACATCCTGGATGAGACATCAGATGAGAAAACTGAGGCCCAAGGAGCTTTAACAGACTCACACAGGTCACATGGGTAGGAAGCAGGGGACCTTGTTCACTACAGGGATGGCATAGTTTGACTTCCTGGGCCAGCTCTGATGGATTGACAAGGGCTGTCTGCATCATCACGTTGAGGACAGTCCATGATAGATGAGCCATGTCTGCCCCAGGCTTGGGAAGAGGACGTGGCAGCATGAGTACCACATATTTGCTGTGCTTACTGATCCATTTAGTAAATTGTTACTGAGAAGTTACTTCATGCAGGACTGTGGTCCTTACGCTGGGTATTCAGTGGTAAATAAGATAAGCCCTCACCCTCAGGAAGTTTACATTCTGGAATGGGAGACAGACAATATACATGTAAACAAATGACTCAATAATATAATCTCAGCTAGGGCCAAGTAGTAGAAGGAAAATAAAATAGTGCAATAGGATAGACAGTGATGATGTGGGGGAAGAGGGAGGAGACTGAAGTGCTCAGGGAGGTGACATTTAAGTGGAGACCTAAATTCTGAGAGGAGGCAGCTCTGTAAAAGCTGGAGGAAGAGCATCCAGGTAGAGGGAACAGCCAGTTCAAAGGTCCTGAGGTGGGTCCTCCAAAGGACAGAGAGAGACCAAAATTGAGGCTGCTTAGATAACAAAGGAGGGGGTCAGTGGAGGAGGTGGGAGTGGCTGACAGGCCTCCCAAACTTAGCGAGTCCACAGGGACACCCTTAGTCCCCAACGCCCTTCCCCCCTAAACAAATTGCTCTTCCCCAAGTCTTTCCTTCTCTTCCCATAAATGACCAGCCACCCTATTGCTCAGACCACCCCAGCTACAACCCCAGCCCTGTCACCATCAAGTCTTGCCTGTGGCCTCCTTGCTGGTCTCCTTGCCTCTAACCTGGTCCTTGCTCAAAGCCCAAAAAGCACTCATCAAACCAATCCCACCACCATTTACTGCCCCCAAGCTCTCTCCTCTCAGTTTTGTCTTTCTTGCAACTATCACCAACCTACAACCTCAGGAACACAGTTTTATTATCTTTTTAAAACAGAATCTGGAGTTGGTCATAGCCACAGGGGCATGAAGTCCCAATTCGATGCACACACATTCCTCTAGTTGTCCCCAAACTGACTGTGTTTCCAGAGTGGTTCTGGGGACTGGGCATTAATTAGCATGGGGAACCATTTATCAGGCCTCTGCAGTGCTCCTGGTCCTGTGGCCAGAGCATCATAATTGCCCTGCAGGAGAGGTTTGATTATCAGCCCACCCTCATTCCATAATTCCTATAGATACTTGGACACTGAAAGGCTCACCTTCTTATTATAAGTCCCCCAGCTGGTAAGTGGCTGAGCCAGGATTTGGACTCAGGTCCCTGTGATGCCAAAGCCCAGACTTGCTTCTACACTGAGCTTCCTCCTAGACTAAAATGGGCAAAGGATGATGGGCTCAGAGAGGCGCCTTGATCTCAGTCTGGACATCTTGCCTGCATTCCAAATCAAAGGTCGGAGCCTGCTTCCTGGGTTCCTTGGCACTTCCTTAGCCTGGAAAGATAAGAGGGTTAGGACCTTCTGCCCACCTGGTCCTGAAGAGATGGTCGTGTCCCAGCCCTCCTTATCTGGCCTGGCTTTCAGTCCGCATCCCTCCACCTGCCCCCCTCTCACATCCCTTCTGTTGCCAGGTGGTCACCTTCCTGCCCCAGGCCGGTGTAGCCAGTACCCGGTGCCCTCCAGCCTGTCGGCCTCTTGATCGGAAAGCATTCCCGTGGGAACCATGGTGCCAACATCCGGTGAGGACGGGCCCTCTGTTACCTGCCGGCCCTGCTGCCTCTGCTATCAGTCCCAAGAACAAAGGAGCTTGGACCCTGCCGCTTGGCAGGCTGTGTTTGTCCAGGGCGAGGCGTAGCCTGGCACAGATGCTGAGTAAACAGGAGTGCCGGCCTCACAGATCCGCCTTACAAACGAGTGGGGCTTCAGCTGGGAGGTGTTGCTGCCAGGCCACCTGCTGAAATATTACCCCGCTCAACTCCAACCAGCACCCCAGGGCAGAGGGGACTGGAGGGCAAGCAGTCCCATCTCTGGACCTTGGGCTTTCCAGCTCTACAATGGGGGAGTTGCATAAGATGATCTCCAAGATCCTCTCTGTGGTCTAGAGTCTTGAATGATGTTGCTGGAAGTCTCTAGGACTTGAGAACAGATCTGGAGGCAGAAGTGTCTGGGAGGTGGGAATGGAATCTGGGCCTCTGTCTCATGGCACCCCACCCCAACTCTAGCCCCAGGTACCCACCCATGCCTCTGTCTCTGGCCAGAGGACTGACCTCTCTCAGAGCAGTGTGCTTGAGCGCTGGATCCATGACCTCATTTATCCTCATGGTGCTTCCAGGATGGGATCTAGGGTACTTTGTGGTCAGAGGAGTAAGTGTGACCATTTTGCTTCTGAGGCCACTTAGAATCTGATCTCTCACTCTCTGTCCCCAGAAATCCTAGGATAGCTGGGGAAGGCTCTCGGAGGGACCATGGAGGGATGTTTCTCCAGTTAGGACAAGAGACTGCATGGCGACAGTGATTCTCAGACTTCAGTGTGCATCAGCATCACCTGGAATGCTTATTTAAAATGCAGAATCCTGGGTCCCATGCCCCAGAGATTCTAAGTCCCAAGATCCTAGGCGGAGTGGGTGGCTCAGGATTCTGAGTTTTTAACAAGCACCTAGGTGATCCTTAGGTCTCTGAGGAAGAGGAGTGAGTGAGCCTAAAAGCTACACACCCCTGGATTCAAATTCTGCCCCTGCCACTTTTTAGCACTGTGACTTGGGGCAAGTCACTAAGCCTCTCTAGATGTCAGTTTTGTTTGTTAAAATAAGGCTATAATATCTACCTCTTAATAAACAAGATCTATTGTTTCAGAGTGTTTATTGCACTTTGTAAATGTTTGTTAAGCAAATGGGGTAGAAGTCCATTTGGCCAATCCAGAAACCTGGGGGTTCTCCTTGATGTCTCCGCCTGCCACATATCTCTCAACCACTCAATCACCAATCCTGTGAACTCTGCCTCCTAAAATATCTGAGATCTGCCCTCTTCTTTCCAGCCCCACAGCCACCACCTTCCTCTACCTGACCACTGCATAGGTTCCTCTCTGATCTCCCTATTTCCACCCTTGCCTCCTCCATTCTTCCTTCCCAGAGCAGCCATGCTAACCTGATAAAGTAATGCCTCTCCTTCAAACCCTAGCTCTCTGGAAGGCTTTATGAGTCTAAAAAAATTCCTCTGGTCCCCCACACCTACTTCTAAGCCTCCTCTCAGCCCGTCTCAGCCTCTACTCTACACTCAAGATGTTTTGAACTTCTTTCAGATTCCTTCAATGAATCTTGGTTTCTCCTGCCCCTAGGACTTCACACAAAGTGTGCTTGCTCTTCCTGAAACGGCCACCTCCCCCTCCCCAAACACACATCCTTCAGCTACTACTCATCTTTCATATTTCAGCTTGAATGTCATTTCCTCAGGGCCAGACATAGCCGTCCCCCTCACATGTGCTCCTCCAGAATAATACCTGTCACACACTGCTGTGATTTCACACCTGCCTCCACCACTGAAGTAGCTCCGTGAGAACACCGGCCTCTGTGTTACTCATTGCTGTAGTGCCCGCAGTTACTAGAGTCTTTGGCTCAAAGAAAGATGAATACACAACTGAATGAACGAATGAATAAATAAACGAGTGAGAAGGCCCTGATCGCAGGGTATGTCGTGGTGGGCGCCCCCTGTTAGTGCCTAAACTGAGTTTAGGGTCTGGATGTGCCTGGAGAAAAAGACAGCTACGTGGGGGCGTCCCTGGGCTCGTGCAGGCCACAGGGGGGCGCCTCCGGCTCGTTGTATCTAGATGGCACCTCCTCGGACTTGGTTCGGTAACTAATCGCTATGGGCGACAGGGGGCGGGGTTCTCCTTCTGATGGACAGTATCGCTCCGCCCAATCTAATTCATCTTTTCCTTGGCCCCGCCCACTCCGGGCCTTGAAGTCCCTGAGGGTGGGCCTGATACAGACGACACCAACTGAGTACCAGCAGAGTGCTCTCAAGGCGGAACCAGGGAGCCTGGCGGTCTGTGAGTGGGCGGCCGGGGGCTGGGGGCGGGGCCGCGGAGTCGACAGGCAGGCGGCCGGTCCCGCCCTTCTCGCCCAGAGCGGCCGCGCCAGCGGTGGGGGCAGCAGAAGTGAGTACGTGAGCGGCGCAGCAGGATCCCTGCTCGGACCCCGGACGGCGCGCGCGCCCAGAGCCTCGGAGCCGAGTCCGGCCCGCGGCGGACCTCCGGATTACTGTGCAGCCCGAACTACGACCACTTGCGCCCTGCCGCCCCGGCCCGCCTCCCCGAGTCCTCCCGCTCCGAGCTCTCCAGCGCCCAGGATCCTCCTGGACCGGTCCGTCCAGATTCCCGCGGGACCGACCTGCCCGCATCCCCTAGCAGCGCCCGGCTCAGGGTGCCGCCTCGGTCCCAGCGCCGCCCGCCTGGATTGCACCCCCTCCTTGCCCGGATCTCCTGGCACCGTGCGCGAGCCTTCCTCGGGACCCGCCGAGCGGACCCTCCCCCAGGTGCCCGCAGCCCCTCCGGCGCGGCCCGGCGCGGCCCGGCGCGGCTCCCGGAGCCCGCCCCGGCCATGGCCCGAACCCGCCCGCCGCCGCCGCCGCCGCCGCCGCCGGGGCTCCTGCCGCTGCTCCCTCCACTATTGCTCCTGCCGCTGCTGCTGCCTGCCGGCTGCCGGGCGCTCGAAGGTGAGCGGCGTCGGGGGGCGCGTCCAAGGGTTAAGGGGGCCGGGGTCGCCCCAGCGTGGGCCGGAGAGGGCCCGCGGTGTGGGGCCGATGCGCGCTGGGCGCACGTCGGAGGAGGCTCCGCCACCGGCGCCCTCTCCAGGGGTCGGAGGATGGGGACGAGAGGACGCCCCCGGAGCCGCCTCGGAGGAGCTGACTCCGCGGCCGGCGGTCCACGGGTTGCGGGATCGCGGGCAGCTCGACTCGGATTGAGCGTCCCCAAAAGTCGTGGCCCCCCGTGAGCTTCTGTGGGAGTACCTCGCGCTCACGGCAGAGAAGCGGCGTTCTCGGCACCTCCCGGAGGCGAGCGAGTGTGGGCGACCCACCAGGCAAGGGGGGGGGCTCTGAGGCTGCTGCGGGGCCGAGGCAGGTGGGGACGAAGCGGGTCTCCCCAGGTTGGGGGGTGGCGTTGGTTGGGAACCCGTTGGAGTTAACTGTGAGAGGGTGAGTGCGTGCACCCCGCTTTGTCCGGGGATGGCTGCGGGGGTGGAGAGGCAGGGGCCTGTTATTGTTTATGGTTTACCGAGCGCCAATTACACATGAATGCTGTGCGCGCGGCCGTTGCACACTGATCTACGGCTCCCCCTCCGCCTTCTAGCAGGACACCCCGAGTGCTCGGGTCTCCATTGAACCCCTGAAGTGGTGGGGTTTGCTCCAGGGAGCCCCGGAGCCCCGTGTGTTCCCCATGAGCCTGTGGGAAAAGGCGGGCCTTCTCAGTGGGTTCCGTGAAACCTGCCAAGACTGGGGCTGAGGGGGTACCTCCAACTTCCAAATGCCTGTACTTGGATGAACAGCCCGAGTGTTGTTGGCCCTGGTGGGAGAGCACACACACATGCCGCTTGACACAAGCCTGCAGGGGACGGAGGCACTGACACCCGTCACAAACAATAGACACACACACGGTTTCCAAAGATTTGGGGGCCATTAAATGAGGGAAGGAAAACCTTCCCTAATGTGGAGGAAAAGACATCACAGAAATTTGGGGTAAACTGGAATATAGGCAGTACTTGTTTTTGGCATCTTTAACAGATCCAGTCACTTTCTTCCTTCAGGAACAAAAACAGGAATTCTGTGAAACTTGGTTTGTTCGTATGTTCACAGTCGGTAAACTTAAAGGTTGAAAGGGAAAAAAACTCAGTTCTGAGAGAAAGACATCTTCTGGTGCTTTCTGTTTTTCTGCAGGGGAAAAAACGACCCCCTTTTATCTCTGAGCCTGTTGGTGCTGACAGACCGATTCACACGGCTGGACACATGCAAATCCAGACAGACACACCGAGGTCGCGCCCACACTTGCGCACACTCACCCACATGCGTGTGATAGGATCGCAGGCGTGAGAAACTGGCATGGGGCTTTGTTGTTGATTGCCTCAAGGGTGTGAGCCAGGGAGCCTGTTGGAGTTCCCAGGTCTGTGCCTCTGTCTTAGCCCAGGAGAGGCGACACACACATACATGCTCATGGGGCTGTGTCCCCCGGGCCCCAGGGCCCTTGTTTGTGGGGTGTGGTGGGTGCTGGTACCGAGAGTGGGGTGGGGGTGTGTGGTTGGGTCAGGTGAGCAAGGGCTTCCTGAGGAGGCTCACCCCTGCCTTCCTCCTTCCCTTCTGTTTTCCCTCCCTTTCTTCCTCCTTTTCACGTCAGTCGCTCAGAGCTGGCCTCCAAGCCTCCAGGCCAAGGAGCTGAGGGGCCGCCCTGATGAGCTGTAGCAGCCCATGAAGGAGAGGGCAGCAGGGCCATTGCCCCCTACCCTATCCTGCCCCTCCCCCTCAGCTGTGAGATGGGATCCAGGGCTGCCCCGTGGCTGGGAGGCCAGGCCAGTGTAGGTGCCCCTGAGTAGCAGTGCCTCCGAAGTGTGGCTTTCGCCAGCTCCTTCACTTGTGCCATACCTCAGACCTTCGCGTCTTCTGTCTGGGTGTGTGAGAATGAAAGCAAAGAGAGCGGCCTCAGGGTGCTGACCTGGCCCAGAGGGCCACCTTCCCCCCTCCAGTTCTGCCTCCCTGGGAGAAGGGATGGTCTAGCACCCATCTCCCAGGGGTGTCGGGAGGATTGAATCCTTAATGTGTGTAAAGTGCTTCGCACATAGCCATTGTTATTCAAGGATTAGCTGTCATTGTTCTTACCCTGGGGTCTGCTCCTTGGGGAGCCATGCAAGTGAAACTGGTACGTGCCCTTACCCTGCCGGAGGGAGGTTAGAGGAAGCAGTGATGGGGCAGGCAAGGTTGTCTGAGGAGGAATAAGGTGCCCCCCACCCCCACCCCTTCATCTCCCTTCAGCTCTGGGAGGGATGGGATGGGATGGGAAGAGAGCTGGCCCTGACTCCTGCCTGTCCCCCACCCGTGTTCTGGAGCCTGAATGGTGGGGTGGGTAGACTTGGAGGTCCTGGGCTGTGGCCAGAGGGCAGGGCTAGGCAGGACCCCCAGCCCTGGAGATCTCATCAGCCCCCAAGCTTTACGGGCTGGAGATCTAGCCTCCTCGCTCCAGCCTTCCATTTGGGTTTGCCAGGATTTGGTTTGCTCGTGGCCTATGGAAGCCTTTTGGCTCTCTGCATCTGGAGGTCATTATATTTAGGCCCAGGGTCCCGGAGCTGAGGGTGCTGCCCCTCGTGGCCCCCTTGGTTAGATGCTGTCTAGCATCTGGCTGCTCTTCCCTCCATGCACACTTGAGGTTCACCAGGACTACATCCGAGGATCTCAACAATTTGGGGACGGAGCCAGGGTCCTTGCTTGTCCTCCCTGGTTGAAGAAACACTCCTCCCTTTGCCCTCTGATTCTCGCCCCCGCCCCTCCCCCAGTTGCCCTCAGATTTACCGTCAGTCACAGGGAAATAGGGCCACCTTGTTGGTCACTCCTTCAGGTGATGTTCCCCAGTCCCCCAAGCCAAGATCGTTCTCCCTGCCAGGACCACAAGTGGTACAGCAGTAGGGTCTAGTAGGTGAGCAGACAGGAACAGACCGTGGGATAAGGAAGGGTGTCTGGACCATAGGATCCTTACACCTAAGATAGGATGGGGAGGCCCCTGTTGGGAAGAGACCCTTTTGAGAAAAGAGAAGCAGTTACCAGATCATAATTGGTGGGGGCCGCACAGCCCTCTCCCAGCCGAGAAGGAGGCAGAGCAGGAGTCCATCTCTTTCTCAGCAGTGACCACTGAGGAGGTGGCAGCTGAGAGGGGACAAGGGGCTGGGGTTCCTGTGGGTTGCTCACTTGTTTGAGTTGCCTCCGGCGCCCCCCACCCTGTCTCTGTGTATCATGAGCTGGCACTTAAGAGCTGCCGATGAGGGACAGCAGCAGGTATTTGGGGGAACCAGTTTGCCCATTGCTGCCTTCCCTTTCGCCAGAACTGCTGCCGCCGTCGCCACTGTGGCCTCAGTGGCAGCCAGCTAAAGCCAAAGCTGCCGTGGGCAAGGCCTCCACCACCGGCCTTGCACTAATTAAACAGCATGAAGAGGCTGAATCACCAGGCCTGCATAGTTTGAAAATTGTAGCCCTGCCTGTTGTGCTGAGTCAAACTGGTTTGTCGGGATTGGGCAGCTAGGGGGGTGGCGGAGGGAGCCTGGGTACAGCTGGGCACCTGATGGGGTGGGAGAGGCCCCCTGCCCCAAGGGCTGGCCCCGGCACTGGGTCTCCTGTTGCCTTCTGCCCCTACACCCTCTGTGGCTGGGATCCCAGGGAAGGGCTCAGAGGCCTCACGTAAGGGCTAGCTGGCCATCCGTCCTGGCTGGCTGGCAGGGCCAGGACTGGGGTGAGGGCCCTGGATGAGGACTGAGGCAGCCGGGCTCCCTGCCCTGTGCTTCTTCCTTCCTTCTCCTCCCTTTCAGGTTTATTTAATTATCAATCCTCATGATCTGAGGGGAGGAATGAAAAACAAAATGTGTTCTCTGTTCTGGGATGCTCCCCTCCCCTCCATCCCAGACTTGAGGGCTGAGGGGCCATGGTGGGGGAGGGAGAGGTGGTCCTGAGTGAGTTAAGCTCCTCCAGGTCTCATGGCAGGACCCCTTCTTCTTGTGCTGACCAACCCTGAGTGTGCAGCTTGGTACACATGCACACACACACTGACACATGGGGAGAGGCAGGAAGGGAAAAGACAGGACGGATCCCTCAGGTTGGTTGGCTGAGGTGGGACCCCGTGGAGGAGGAGGGGGACCAACTCAGAGGTGACATGGGATTCCTCCCTCTCATCCCAGGCAGGGCTCCAGGGTTCTCCTTCTTGTCCAGACACTGCCCCTCTGCCCTCCTGCCCCTGCACACTCTGCTGGCCCAGCCCTGCAGTGTGATCTTTCCGGCCGCCTCCAAGTCCCTGGTCTGGAGTTTGGGGTGGAGGCTTCTTGCTTCTGTCTCCAGATGTTTTTGGTTTCCTGGGTCTCACTGACACCCCTGTACCTAGGGTGGGGTGCTCTGGGTGGCATGGGGCCTGGCAATGCTGTGGGGTCTGGCAGATGCATAAAACTCTGTGCACCTGGCCCTTCACCAGGGCAGGTGGCAGGTTTCCAGCTGATGCCTCTGCACCAGGGTGGCCCAGTAAGGCCCTCAGACATAGGCTGGATATCCACAATGTTCTTCTCCTGCTGGGCCCCCAACTTATGTGTGCAAGTGCTACCTGAAGCTCCTGGCGCTATATCTCTTCATGATACCACCCCCTTCCCAAGGGCTCGGAGGCCCTTGGGACAGTGTCATTAGGCTGGCAGAGAAGTGGCCTGCTGCATGGGCAGGGGCTGTACCTGGGGAGGCCACACCCAGCCACACCCTGAATCATCTTCATGCCCTGACCCCACCCCCAGCCTCGTGACCTGTGACAGCTCCTTCCTGTGCCAGAGCCACAGGAAGTACATCTGGGGCTTGCTCCTCCTTTCTGCCTCTGGTCAAGGCTGCCCTAGTACCTCTGCTTTCTTAGGAGACACTGTCCGCCCCCACCTCTTTCTCTGCCCCACTTGAAGACTCATCCCATAGAAAGAATATGCTTGTAGTGTGTGTGTGTGTGTATGTTGCATGTGCACGGAGGATGCACCTTGGGGACTTGACACGAACTCTAGGTATTGATACTTATACTGTGTACACATGCTCCTGGGGCATGTTTCAGTGCAGACAGCCATCTCTGTGCACAGCTGATGCCAGTTGTGTGTGACCATGTCACCGAATCTGTACGGAGAAACTGGTGTTCGTTTCCACTTGACTACTCAAGACTGTGACTCGTGGCTGGCAGTAGTGTGCACAGTTGAGTGTGTAAGGAGAATGTGCTTTTGGGTGTGTGTGCCCTCTGTGTATGCATATGTCTCAGGAAATCGGCACATATGAAGGCTGAAAGAGCGAGTCTCTGCCTCAGGCGAGGCAAATCTGCGAGGGGGAAAGAGACACTGTACTCGGGTGTCTGAGGAAGACTGATCTGTTTGTACCATGTGCGTATGTGTGTCTGAGGAAGACAGACCGTGGCTGTGTGGAGCCATGTGTGTGTTTGCAGACGGCTGTGGCTTTGTGTGTTTTTGTCCACCATATGTGTTGACTTGTCGCTCTTTGGCCCTGATGGTGGGGAATGAGCCCAGCCACTGAGAACTGGGGGATGCGTGTGCATGTGTGTGTTGGTGCACAGGTGAGGGCCACACAGCTGCTGCCACGTGGCTGTTGTCCGTGGCCCCATGGAAACCTGAAAGGGTTGCTTCACTTCTGAGCATCGAAGCCCCAGTCCCAGAAAGCCCCCAGGCCTGGTGCCCACTTCCTGCTTGCTTTTGGGGGCTGTGGGGTTCCCTGCCTGGCAGAGCCCCGTATCTGGGAGTGGCCAGCTGCTCTCTGGTCTCCCTCCAGCAGCCACATGGAGGGACAGTGGAGGGTGGGGGTGCAGACGGGAGCTGGGAAGTTTGGAGATCAATCACTCATTCCTCTTTTGTCCTTACCCCCTGTACCTCATATCCTTCACCCCAGCGTGTGTGTGCACGCAAACACGCATGCACACATGCCACACACATAGAGAAATGGTGGGCTCTGTTGGGTTGGGTCTCTCTCTCCTACTGCCACAGACAAGTTCTAGGCGCCCCCCCATGTCCTTCCCGAGGCTTGGATTCGGACATCTCAGGGTCTCCCTCTTGCTGAAGGGGACCAAGCCCCTCCCCTCCCCCAGAGACATGGGGAAACCGAGAGCAAGCCCCCCTCCCCACCAGGGTGACCAGAGCCCTTCCTCAGGCACACATGACTCGAAATCCAAGTCCTCTCCTCATTAATGGGAAAAATGTGCCGAGATTGAGCGATGGCCAAGGCTGAGCGATGGCCAAGGGCCGATCCCCTCCCTCTCTCGCTCCCCAGAAATTAAACAGAAATGAAGAACCTCCCCCCTTCTGCCCGCCGCCCCCCTCCCCACCGTCCTCCCCTCCCCTCCCTCCTCTCAGAGCCAGCGCAGGGCTTGTTTTAAACTGTGGAGGAATCTGGCTGGAGGGGGGAGGGGGCTGAATATTTGGGTTTAAACAGTTCCAGATGGGTTTGGCACAGGCTGAGCAGAAGGAAGTGAGCGAGAGGGAGGAGGGAGGCTGCGCTGGAGGAGTGGTGGGAGCCCTCGCCTGCTCTGGCGGCGGTGGGCAGGGCAGTGGGCAGACAAGCAGGCGGACTGGCTGGCTGGCTGGCTGGGGGTGGGGGTGCGCTTGGCACTTGGCTGGGCCCACTCCTGGGGACAGGAATACTCTGGGCTGCTGGCTGGGGAAGAGACCACTTGGCAACTTCCCTCTCTGTCTCTGTCTCTGTCTCCTTGGGCCTCCTCTTCTCTCCATCTCACTGTCTTTTGTAGTCCACCGCTGGCCATCCCAGCTGTCTGGTCCTGGCCAGCCAGCTCTGCACATCCCTCCAGCTCGGTGCCGCCCACCCTCCGCCTCAGCAAAGCCCCTGCTCCACCGCCTCTCTCCCCCGTCTCCAGGCCCCTGCTTCTGCCCATCTCTGCTTTCCTCCCGGACTCCCCTGCCGAACGTCTGTGTCTATCTGTCTGTCTGCCAGAGAGGCCAGTCAGGCCACCGGCGACAAGACTGGGATAGCTCACCCTGCAGCCGGGCCCTCCAGGGACCAGCCTCTGCTGCAGGAAGAGGAGGGAGCCTCCCTCCCCACAGTGAATGGCTACTGCCCGCTGCCCCCTCTGCCTCACCTGGGGCCCCCAGCCGCAGCTGCCTCATGCACCAGGCACCACGAAGCCCACGAGCCTGGAGACTGTGGGGTTTGGGTCTCTCCTCTCCTGGGTGCCCTCAACCTGCCCCACTGTTGATGAACAGAAGTTCTGGGGCAACGCTGCCCCATTCCAGCTCAGAGCTGCGGGGAGAGCTGCTGGCTGCCCTGTCTCCCAGCCTGTGAGGAAGGAGTTGGCACCTCTTTCCTCTTTTTCCTGCTCCTAGGTCTGATCTTGGGGTCACACTGTCAGAGAGCAGAGTTGTCCAGCCAGAACCCAGAACCAGGTTCCCAGGGGAGCGAGTTTATATCAGAAACATGAATGGGCCCTTCCTATGGCCGAGCAAGGGGAAACAGACAAGAAACCGCAGCTCAGAGCGGGGTTGGTGCTGTGACAAAGCCCCTGGCCCTGGATATATAGAGGAAGGCATCTAAGCCTGAGTTGAGGATTCAAGGAAGGCTTCCTGGAGGAGGTGACAGCTTAGTTGGGACTTAAAGGATATACAGGAACTTTCCAGGCTCCCTCTGTCCCCCGTTTACAGAGGAGCATATTGCAGTCAGAGTGCCCTGGTTAAGGCATTAGTTGGGGAGTCAGAACTGAATTTGAGCCCCCTTTCAACCCCTCCCCTCCAAGTCCTAGCAGTTTTACCTTAGGCTGTGTGTTTACTTTATCTGGGCTTCAGCTTTCCCATCTGTGAAAGGGGCACACCGACAATACCTTTCTCCAAGGACTGCAGGCAGAACTGAACTAGCTCCCCAGGAGCTGGTCTGGGCCTTGGTGGCCCCACCTCACCCTCAAAGAGCATTCCTGCCCCTTCCCCCGGAGATGGTTGAGTAGGGGGGCTCTGGCCTGTAACTGCCGTCCCCTTCTGGGCGTGTGGGGCTGTGCCTTTGTGTTGGGGATGGAGTCCAGGGAGGCCTGGGCGCAGGGTCTGAAGCACACGGCCCTTTGTTCCAGGAGAAAGGCCCTGCCGGCCCCTTTGTGTGGAGATTAGCAGAGCCTGTAGGTGTGTGAACCAGTCCTGGCTCCCGGCTCATTAACCCAGGCCTGGGGTCAGTGGCAGACACCCACCCCCAGCTGGCCCTACCCAACATCTTTGGGCTGTGACATCTCTGGGGACGGCTGGAGGGTCTCCTCCGGGGCAGGGGAGCTGAGGGCTTTGGGGACTAGAGGGTGGGGTGGTACCTGGTGGGAATCAGTCTCTGGTGTCCTGGCCTTTCCTGGGCAACCTCCTCGCCACCTCCTCTTTCTCCTCATCCTGAGCTTGACCCCTGACCTTTTTCCTTCTGTTGCTTCCCTAGAGACCCTCATGGACACAAAATGGGTGACATCTGAGTTGGCATGGACATCTCATCCAGAAAGTGGGGTAAGACTTCCCCGCTATCTCTCCCGTGTGTTGGTTGCCAATTAAACCACCCCTCCCTCCAGCGTCCACCCCACTCAGGGCTGGAGAAGAGCTGCCTCTGCGCCCCGCTTGTCCTTCTCACCTCCGGCAGCATCCCCATCCTCTGCCCCGGCCCCCTCCTTCTTTGCCTGATCGTCTCTCTCTGTGGGTGTTTTTATTTCTCACCCTTCAGCCCGCCTGTGTCCCCCTTCCCACATACACACCATCTTTGTCCATTCTCCCTCAGCCTGTTTTCAGCCTAGTCCCACCCCTCTCCTGCCTGACGGCCCTTTGAATGTCTGTCCCAACCATCTCCCTCCTTCCTGGGTCCTGGGAAGAGCACTGGCTTGGGAGCCAGGAATCCTTGGATCCAGATCTTGAACTTACTGTGTGACCTTGAGCAAGGCAATTTCCGTTTCTGGGCCTCTGTTTCTTGACTGTTAATTTCTTGTAGTCCTGACGTCTCTCAGATATTCTAATTAACCTCCCTAGGGGGCCTTCACAGCTGCCTAAGCTCTGGAACACTGGGGTTGGGTGGCACTACAGGCTTCAGTCACCAGCCCTGACTGTGTGACCTTGGGCGAGTCCCTACTTCTTGTGAGTCTTGGCTTCCTCGTCTCTGCAGTGCGGACAACAAACAGGTGCACCTCCTCATGGAGTTGTTGTAGAGGTCAAATGTGATGGCAATAGTGATGGCCGATATTTATTGAATACTTGCTCTATATCAGGCACCGTTACAAGCCCATTACTGTTTTAAACTGACATAATTCCTCACAGCCTCATTTATTTCCAATGAGCCCCATTTTTACACATTGAAACTGAGGCATAAAGAGAATAAAATTTATAGGAATACTCATAGAGTACTGATCAATCGCCCTGTTCTCAGTGCTTTATGCCTTTAAAGTCATTTATTCCTTACACGTTTTTTCTTGCCATGTTACAGATGGGGAAATGGAGGCACAGGGAGGTTAAGTGACTTACCCATAGTCACACAGCAAGCAGAATGGTGGGATTTGAACATGTCTGTGTGCTCAGCCACTATCCCACAGAAGCATCTCTGTGAAGTAAATATAGCAGAGCTGGGCATGTGGTAAGCACCTGGCAGATGTTGGCACTCACTCTCTTTTTCACTTGGTCCATGCACAGTGGGAAGAGGTGAGTGGCTACGATGAGGCCATGAACCCCATCCGCACATACCAGGTGTGTAATGTGCGTGAATCAAGCCAGAACAACTGGCTTCGCACGGGGTTCATCTGGCGGCGGGACGTGCAGCGGGTCTACGTGGAGCTCAAGTTCACGGTGCGCGACTGCAACAGCATCCCCAACATCCCTGGCTCCTGCAAGGAGACCTTCAACCTGTTCTACTACGAGGCTGACAGCGATGTGGCCTCAGCCTCCTCCCCCTTCTGGATGGAGAACCCCTACGTGAAAGTGGACACCATCGCGCCCGATGAGAGCTTCTCGCGGCTCGATGCCGGCCGTGTGAACACCAAGGTGCGCAGCTTCGGGCCACTCTCCAAGGCCGGCTTCTACTTGGCCTTCCAGGACCAGGGCGCCTGCATGTCGCTCATCTCCGTGCGTGCCTTCTACAAGAAGTGTGCATCCACCACCGCGGGCTTCGCCCTCTTCCCTGAGACCCTCACTGGGGCAGAGCCCACCTCACTGGTCATCGCCCCCGGCACCTGCATCGCTAACGCTGTGGAGGTGTCGGTGCCGCTCAAGCTTTACTGCAATGGTGACGGAGAGTGGATGGTGCCTGTGGGCGCCTGCACCTGTGCCACCGGCCACGAGCCAGCTGCCAAGGAGTCCCAGTGCCGCCGTGAGTGGGGACTGCCTGGGGGAGGAGAGGGAGCGACCAGGCCACAGCCACCTGCTGCCCCCTGCCCACCACTTCCCACCTCAGGACAGAGGCCTGAAGTCTGGGGCGGAGGGAGGAAAGGGAAGAGGGATAGCAGGTGCAGCGAATCTGGTGCAATGAGGGAGGTGAGAGAAAATGAGAGACATGAGGATAACAAGAGGAAAAAATAAAACTAGAGAGAGAAGAGAGACGTGGAGAGTCTTTGATAAGGAGGCACCTGAGGAACCAGGAGGCCAGCAGAGATGCCCACTTTGTCCCGTCCCCAGTGTATGCTTCACCCTGGAAGTACCCTGTGTGCACCTCGTGCTTGGCCCTTTTCCCTTGGGGTCTCCTCTTTGTGAAGCAGTATTTCCAGCAGAGTGGTGAGGGGCTGGGTCCCTGAGGTCCTGAGTCCTGACTCTGCCACTTACACCTGTGAGACTTCACTCCCTGAGCCTTGGTTTTCTCATGTGCAAAATGGGGAGGATAATGGTGATTCCTTCAGAGAGCGGTCGTGGGGCTTAAGTGAGTCAATGTGCATGAAGCCCTGGCACACGGCAAGCACCAACCCCACCTAAGTGTTAGCCGTGACTCTCGGGAGCCCTGGGAGATGTGGGGGACGTGCATTATTCTGTCCTTATTTCATACATGAGGAGGTTAGGAGGCTTGCCAGGACTCATAAGACCTTACTCTATAAAACCTGTTCACGTAGGGTTCTCATTTGAGCCTCGCCACAACCTTGTAAGGTCGATTCCATTTATCTCCCCTATTTTGCCAGTAAGGAGACTGCGTCTCAGAGAGGTTCTGTACTTAGGCCTCCCAGCTGGGAATGTGGGAGCTGGGCCGACAGCCTTGTCTGGTGCTCTGCCACCCGGACAAGGTGCCGAGGGCCTTGCCTTCTGTCCCTTCTGCCTGATTCTCTCCCCTGGCCCTGGCAGCCTGTAGCTCTGAGGGGTGGGAGCTGGCTCTTGGCACAGCCCTAGGTGCGAGGAGGCTGGCGGCCCGACCTGGCTGTGAGGCCCCGTGTTGGGTGTTGTCGTGGGAAGGTGAACAGTGCCTTGCCCGGCCCCGCCACTTCTCTATGGGAACCTGCCCCCAGACTTCCTCTTCCTAAGTGGAGAAAGGGGTGGGGGTGATGAGCCTGACAGCCTGAAGAGGGGCTAACACTCTGCAGGTCCCTGGCAGGAAATGCATGCTGGTTCCCATAGCAACCAGGCTGGCCTGGCCCCTGCCCCCTCCCCCACTGGCTCAAAGGAGCTTGGATGGAATATCACCTTAGTGGGGAGATTAAACCCCGGAGAAGGGCACAGCCCCAACTCTGGGCTTTCCACATTCTGGATGACCCCCCCAGAGGTGGTCCTGTATGGGTAGGGTGACCGTATGCTGTGGTACGTCCAGGGCGGTGCTGGTATATGCCCGTTATCCTAACATGATGATTGCTAATGTCTGCTTTCACCTTCCACATACTCCAGTTTGAATACTAAGTTATATGGCCATCACAGATATGGGGACCCTGCAGAGCCGAGGTGCAAGGGCCCGAGTATAGATGGCAGGAGAGAAGGTGGAGGAGGAGAGAGGTTCAGGCACTGAGCTCTGAGCTCACTTTGGGGCCTGGGGTTCCCCTTGTGGACACTGTGAGGCCTCTGAACTCCAGGTGACCCCTGCCTTCCTGCCTGCTCTCTTTCTCTCCTTTTCTCACCGTTCCTCAGCCCCCACCCCTGCCCACGGGCAGAAAGGAGCTGCTACCCTGCTTCTGGTGGGTGGAGACAGAGGTTGGCTGTGAAACTCAGAGGCCCCACCTCCTGGCCCTTCTAAAGTGTCCTTAAGGGTCCTCAGGAATGATTTTCCCCAAGCTTCAGGGAGGGTGGGGGCATCCCAGCAGAGTACAAGGTGCCACCAGCCTGCTTAGGGGTCTCTTCCCCTCCCCCTCCTCTTCCTCCTGCTCTCTCCCTTCCCTGCCTTGACAAGCCTGGGCTGTCCAGGTGATGGGGCTGACGTCGTCCATGATGCCCCAGGCTTGGGGTGGGGGGGCAGGGGCGGGGAGGAATCCGCTGACGTGGGGTTTCCATGGGGCAAAAGGGCCTTTTGTAGCTGCAGCGGGAGTTGGGCAATCCCAGCATGGCCCCCACAGTCTAGGAGGTGGAGGGGCCAAGACCTGGGCTGGGGAAGGGCCAGATTCCCACGGGGTGTGGATGATTGGTATCTGCAGGGCAGGGAGGTGAGCTCGTCCACCCTCTTCTCCCCCGCAGCCTGTCCCCCTGGGAGCTACAAGGCGAAGCAGGGAGAGGGGCCCTGCCTTCCCTGCCCCCCCAACAGCCGCACCACCTCGCCAGCCGCCAGCATCTGCACCTGCCACAATAACTTCTACCGCGCAGATTCCGACTCTGCAGACAGTGCCTGTACCAGTGAGTGAACTTGCGCGCTTACCCTCTCCTGCCCCAGGGCTTCCCTCTGTGGGCCGGCCTGGGACGACCTACACGGTCACTGTGAACATCTCCATTTTCCAGATGGGGAGACTGAGGCTCAGAGAGGTTAGATGTTGTGCTCACTATGGCACAGCTAGGAAGTGACCAGCCCTGAACCAGAATGCAGGTCAGCTGGCTCAGCCTCTCCACCAACATTTAATAAGTGCCTGCTAGCTCCTAGCCAGGCATCAGGAACCAGCTGGGGCCCTCCAGTCCATCTTCCTCTGTAGAACTGCTGCTCTTTTGGCCCAACTCTAACCACAGAGGGGGCCTCACATCCCTGGGGCAGCCTAGTGTCTCACTTTCTCTCTTCTTTGGCCTTTGGTGTGCCAGGCATTGTGCCAGGAGCCAGGGATGTATGTGGAGAAGAATAAGATGCAGTCACTGTCCTAATGGAGCTCACAACCTGGTGGGAGAAAAAGATGTAAAAACAGATAATGACCATTTAATGTGCTAAGTGCTGGGCTGGAGGAGATGCCCAGGAATTATGTTATGGGAGTGCAGAGGACAAGGAGAGGATGAATTAAGGAGGGCTTCCAAGAGGAGGTGACATCTCAAGTTGAGCCTTGAAGACTAAATAGGAGTCTGCACAGTGAGGAAGTGTAGGAAAGTTATTCTGCTTATGAAGCAGAGGCAAAGGCAAGGAGGTCAGAAGCAGCTTGGAATGTGCACAAAGTCTGGGCAGGAGGGGATCCTAGGGCCTTAGCTCACTGTCCTCTCCCCTCCTTCTTCCCCGTAGCGGTGCCCTCTCCACCCCGGGGTGTCATCTCCAATGTGAATGAGACCTCACTGATCCTCGAGTGGAGCGAGCCCCGGGACCTGGGTGGCCGGGACGACCTCCTGTACAACGTCATCTGCAAGAAGTGCCATGGGGGCCCCGGGGCCGGGGGTCCCTCAGCCTGCTCCCGCTGTGATGACAACGTGGAGTTTGTGCCTCGGCAGCTGGGCCTCACAGAGCGGCGGGTGCACATCAGCCATCTGCTGGCCCACACGCGCTACACCTTTGAGGTGCAAGCAGTCAACGGGGTCTCGGGCAAGAGCCCTCTGCCTCCCCGCTACGCTGCTGTGAATATCACCACCAACCAGGCTGGTGAGGAGGGGACACAGCAGGGTGGGGCCTGGGTCACCTTCCCCTACACAGAGCTGAGGTTGCCCATGGCCTGCCAGTGGACCACAGGGATCCCATGGGCTGTGGGTTCCTTGGGAAGAATGCCAGGGCCTGAGGAGCCCATGATGAGCCCCCCCACTCTTCCCCTAGCCCCGTCCGAAGTGCCTACATTACACCTGCACAGCAGCTCAGGCAGCAGCCTGACCTTGTCCTGGGCACCCCCAGAGCGGCCCAACGGAGTCATCCTGGACTACGAGATGAAGTACTTTGAGAAGGTCAGAGCCTCAAGGGGCAGGAGGAGGCCTTGGGACAAGAAGATTACCCCCAGATAGTGGCAAGGGCCCTTGGGAGCAAGGCCTTGGGTACTGAGGGGGCTGTGGGGCCGGCCTGGGGCTGGGCAGGGCCTGATGGACCTCAGGACCCACTGAGACGCCTTCTTCCTCCTGGTGTTGCAGAGTGAGGGCATTGCCTCCACAGTGACCAGCCAGAAGAACTCAGTGCAGCTGGACGGGCTGCGGCCCGATGCCCGCTATGTGGTCCAGGTCCGCGCCCGCACAGTAGCTGGCTATGGGCAGTATAGCCACCCGGCCGAGTTTGAAACCACAAGTGAGAGAGGTACACCCGCCCTGCGCCTGCCCCTGCCTCAGCCCCCACCGTCCCTCCCTCCACTCACCCTCCCCTCCTGTCTCCAGGCTCCGGTGCCCAGCAGCTCCAGGAGCAGCTTCCCCTCATAGTGGGTTCTGCCACGGCTGGGCTTGTCTTCGTGGTGGCTGTTGTGGTCATTGCTGTCGTCTGCCTCAGGTACTCCCAGGCCCATGCTTGCTCCCCTGGGCTGACTAGAGCTTCCCTTTAGCACCCTGGAACCCTCATGCCCATAGGTGAACCCTCACCCACATCAAACCCAGAGCCACAGCCTTCCTGGGCCCAGGCTGTCCTTGCTGGAAAGGCCCTCTCCAGTCCACACCCATGTCCTCATCCTATCCCCTCTCTGTGCCCTGAATCTACTGACATATCCCTTCAGGGACCAAGTCCACTCAGCCCCTTGTCCAGAGACCCAGTGGCTGCTCTAACCACCAATCCTGAGACCAGGCAGCGGGCCATCCCCTGTGTGCTCGGCCCCTCCTGTGCACTCAAAGGTCCTCTGACAAAGGCAGCTGCCGGACTTGTCTCAGGCCTGCCCTCCCTCCCGCCCCCTCCAGGAAGCAGCGGCACGGCTCTGATTCCGAGTACACCGAGAAGCTGCAGCAATACAGTGAGTCTGGCTCCTCATCCTGACCCCACAACGTGCCCTTTGTCCCTGCAGGGCTTGGGGACACCCTTTTCCCTCCCTGGGACTTTATTCCTTGTACTCCTACCCTGGAGGCCCCTCCTGCTTCCAATCGAGTGCCATTTCCTGAGCCCCTGCCTCCCCCCTGCTAGCCCCAGAGATGAATGAGACGCAAGCCCTGTCCTCAAAGGCAGTCAGTCAGTCCCAGGAGGAAGACAAGATGCGTACACACAGGAAACAATGAGAGAACAATTAAGTGTTAAGTCGGATGTTCCTGTTATAAAGGGCAGTAAGAGTTCAAGAAGAGGAAGGCTTCCTGGAGGAAGTGGCCTTGGGCTGAGCTGAGCCGGATAGAATGAGCAGGGTTTAGAGAGGTTGGGAAGAGCATTCTTGGCCAGAGGAGCCTTTGGAAGGTAGTGGGTGGGGTGAGGAGAGTGCCCAACTGTGGGGGCAGCAAGAAGACTGGTTTGACAGCTCCTGGGAAGCCAGGCTGGGTAGTTGCGGCCAGTCCTTGAGGGTCGTGAAAGGCAGGCAGAGGAGTTTGGACTTGACTCCACCACCAGTAATCCAAAAGGCTCTCCAGGTGGGGAGTGATACAATGAAAGTATTGTTTTGGGAAGACAGGTATGCAGGACAGACTGGTGGGAAAAGTCCAGAGGCAGAGAGCCCAGCTGGGAGGCTGCTGCAGGAGTCTGAGTGTTGAAGGCCTGGACAAGGTCGGGGCAGTGGGAACGAGGGGAGGGGCAAGTCTGAGAGAGGTTTCGATGTGATGAGAGATGAGGGAGAAAGAAGAATCCTAGGTGTCTAGCCTTTATGGTCGCCAGCTCTCTCGGAGGGGAGGGTGGCGGGGTGGGGCGAGGGGCAGGTGGGGCTTCCACAGGGAGGAGTATGGAGCAGCTTAGCAGGGAGGTTGGGAATGTGCTCCCATCAGGGATGAGAGCCTAGGACAGGATCCCGGGTCCCCTCACCATCCCCAGCCTGAAGATCTGTCCCTCTCTCAAGCTCACCTTTTCCTCCTCTAGTTACTCCTGGAATGAAGGTTTATATTGACCCTTTCACCTACGAGGACCCTAATGAAGCCGTGCGAGAGTTTGCCAAGGAGATCGACGTGTCCTGTGTCAAGATCGAGGAGGTGATTGGAGCTGGTGAGTGCCCTGGGGCACAGTGGGGAGGAGAGGCCGGGGGTTACCTCGAGTGAGGACTGAGGGGGGCTGGGGACAGGAGCCATCCCAGAAATAGCTCACTCCCTGTGCCCTGTGCTCTGCAGGGGAGTTTGGGGAAGTGTGCCGCGGTCGGCTGAAACAGCCTGGCCGCCGGGAGGTGTTTGTGGCCATCAAGACGCTGAAGGTGGGCTACACAGAGAGGCAACGGAGGGACTTCCTGAGCGAGGCCTCCATCATGGGTCAGTTTGACCACCCCAACATAATCCGCCTGGAGGGCGTGGTCACCAAAAGTCGGCCAGTCATGATCCTCACCGAGTTCATGGAGAATTGCGCCCTGGACTCCTTCCTCCGGGTAAGAGCCAGCCCCGGGTCCCTCCCCCTCGTTGTCCACCAGAGAGCTGGGTGGGGCAAACCACCCCTCCCATAGATCAGACAGACCCTATTCAAGTCCACAGATATCTACTCAGTTGGCATGGCACAGGGCAACAGCCCGGCCTTCAGCCAGAAAGACCAGGGTTCTCCTCCTGACTCTGCCCCCTATCACCTGTGTGACCTCAGGCTTTACTTAACCTCTCTGAGTCTCAGCTGTCTTCGTTGTAAATGGGAGTGGGTCCTCATGGGAGTTAACTGGGATGTTGTGTACTGATGCCTGCCACATAGTAGGGCAGCTTACTGACTCAGTGCACTCTGGACATGGTCTCAGAGGACTTGAGAGGGCCGGCGGGCAGGCAGGCCCTGGGGCAGGAAGGAGGCGATGGGCCCACCTGAGCCTGCTCATTGCCTCCAGCTCAACGACGGACAGTTTACGGTCATCCAGCTGGTGGGCATGTTGCGGGGCATTGCTGCCGGCATGAAGTACCTGTCTGAGATGAACTACGTGCACCGAGACCTGGCTGCCCGCAACATCCTTGTCAACAGCAACCTGGTCTGCAAAGTCTCAGACTTCGGCCTCTCCCGCTTCCTGGAGGATGACCCCTCCGATCCTACCTACACCAGCTCCCTGGTACAGGAAGCAGCCGGGAGGGACACTGGGGGTGGGGCCAACCAGGCAGGGGCTCGGGGCTGGGGAGCAGCCCCGAGTCATAGGGTGAAGGGCGTGTGCCCCCCCCACCAGGGCGGGAAGATCCCCATCCGCTGGACTGCCCCAGAGGCGATAGCCTATCGGAAGTTCACCTCTGCTAGTGACGTCTGGAGCTATGGGATCGTCATGTGGGAGGTCATGAGCTATGGAGAGCGACCGTACTGGGACATGAGCAACCAGGATGTGAGTAGGGCCAGCCAGAGTGGGTGGATGAGTGGAAGCTGGCTGGGAGCAAAGTGTGGCTGATTCCAGGTGTCCCCTCTCTTGACCCAGGTCATCAATGCTGTGGAGCAGGATTACCGGCTGCCCCCGCCCATGGACTGCCCCACAGCACTGCACCAGCTCATGCTGGACTGCTGGGTGCGGGACCGGAACCTCAGGCCCAAATTCTCCCAGATTGTCAACACCCTAGACAAGCTCATCCGCAACGCCGCTAGCCTCAAGGTCATCGCCAGCGCCCAGTCTGGGTCAGTCCTCTCCCTCTGCTCCCACCCTGCTCTCGAGCCAGCAGCCGCACTGCTGCTTCTCCTGCCATCAGGACTCACCAAGCTCCTCTCTTCCACCTACAGCATGTCACAACCCCTCCTGGACCGCACGGTCCCAGATTATACGACCTTCACGACAGTTGGTGACTGGCTGGATGCCATCAAGATGGGGCGGTACAAGGAGAGCTTCGTCAGCGCGGGGTTTGCATCCTTTGACCTGGTGGCCCAGATGACCGCAGAGTGAGTGTGCTGCAGATTGGGAGGGGCGGGGCAGGGGGCTCTGAGCCAGGCCTAGGGTGGTGGGCCAGCGGGGAGGGACTGACCCTGCCCTTGGTCCATCTGCAGAGACCTGCTACGGATCGGGGTCACCTTGGCCGGCCATCAGAAGAAGATCCTCAGCAGTATCCAGGACATGCGGCTGCAGATGAACCAGACGCTGCCCGTGCAGGTCTGACACCCAACTTCCACTGGGTGGTGCCCCCCAAGGACTGCACAGGGACTCTGACCAGCCGGCTGGACTTTTGGACTTTTGGATGCCTGGCCTTAGGCTGTGGCCCAGAAGATGGAAGTTTGGGGAGGGCCCAAGCTGGGACTTCTCCTCCAGGCCTGTGCTCCCTCCCCAGGAAATGTGCCCCAAACCTCTTCATATTGAAGACGGATTAGGAGAGGGGGTGATGACCCCTCCCCAAGCCCCTCGGGGCCCAGGCCTTCCTGCTCTCCAGTGGGGGATCCCCACCACCTCAGACTTGGCTATTCTTCAGTGCTGGAGGTCCTTGCAGGGTCAGGTAGGGGATAAGCCTGGGTTCCATAGGGCCCAGCCCTGGCAGGGGTCTGGCCCCCCAGGTAGGCAGAGAGCAGTCCCTCCCTCAGGAGCTGGAGGAGGGGACTCCAGGAATGGGGAAATGTGACACCCGCATCCTGAAGCCAGCTGGCACCTCCAGTTTGCACAGGGACTTGTTCTGGGGGCTGAGGGCCCTGCCCCACCCCCGCCCTTGGTGCTGTCATAAAAGGGCAGGCAGGGGCAGGCTGAGGAGCAGCCCCTTGCCCCCCAGAGACTGACTCTCAGAGCCAGAGATCGGATGTGTGTATGAGTGTGTTTTATGTGTGTGTGTGTGTGTGTGTGTGCACGCACTGGCCTGCACAGAGAGCATGGGTGAGCGTGTAAAAGCTTGGCCCTGTGCCCTGCAGTAGGGCCAGCTGGGCTATCAGCGGAATAAAGGCAATAAGATGATTCTGTTGTCCCTTCTCATTCCACTTCCCAAGGCAGGATTCCCTGATGCCCTCAAGTTCACAATCCCTCAGCACCAGCCCTTCAGAACTCCCTGGAGTCATTGGGAGACCAGACCCAGGCCTATCCAGGCTCAACTTCCCTTTTGTGCTTCGGCCTCATTGCATCTAACTTCTTGGAAGTGGAGCGATAAGAGTAGAAAGCAAACTGCCCCAGAGCTCCTTCCTCCTAAGGCTCAGCGCAGGCGTTCCTGGGGTGGGGGCAGACACTTGAGTCTGGATGGTGTTTTACAGACATGTTCACTCCCGTTGTCTCCCAGGGAGCTGAGGGTAGAGGGGGTTGGTCAGCTCCCAGGGTCACATGGCAGCCCGACAAAGGGGAGGAGAGCCCACTGGTGTTCAGATGCAGAGCCCAGCTCCCTTCAGCAAACATCAGCCCAGAAGTGTGGCTGCTCTTCACCAAGTCCTTACTGTGTTCCAAGCACTGGGCTAAAATGCTCCATTTATAGACGGATCTTATTTAATCTCACAACAACCCAGCCAGAGAAGGAAGTATTTTTATCCTTTTTACACAGGAGGAAGGGAAAGGTTAAGTAACTTGCCCAAAGTCGCTGAGCCAGTAAGTGAGGCCTGGGGCTAGGATTCCCACCCAGACACTGCCTGTGCACTTGAAAGGTTCAGAGGATAAGTTACAAGAACCAGGGAGAGGGTTAGGAAAACAGTTTCTGGAAATGTCAAAGGAGAAAACATGGGGGGCGCTCAGAGGCCCCTTGGATGCAGAAGCAGGAAGAGGGTGGGGGACAGGTGCGTCTCCTGGTGTCAGAAGGGGTCCTTGGGCAGTAAACCTTTGCGGGGCATGGAACAGGTTTCCATGGTACCTGCACATCCTAAATTAGAGGGTCGTTGGCTGGACCCGGTAGGGGGAAGGGCATGGACAAAGCCTCATGGATCACCGAGTTCGCGTGTCGCGGCCCCGCACATCTCCAGACGTTTCCAGACAGGGCAGAGCTCGGCAGGGGCATTCCAAGTGGCGGAGGTAGCTAGGGGTTGCGATGCTACAGGCCCGGGGGGGCTATTTCAGGCGCAGGGGACCAGGCCCCATGAGGTGAGCGGGCGGGCCCGCCCCGCGGCGCGCTCCGGCGGGGAGAAGAGGCGGGGGGCGGCCGTGGCGCTGCGCGGGCTCCCGGGACCCCCTGCCCCGGCCTTCCGCGGCGCGCTCCCGCGCTCGGGCTCCTCCCGCGGCGCCGCTCGTTGGTATTCCCCCCGCGGAGGCAAGCGCCGCGCCGTGCCGCAGGAGGGGCCCCGGGATGGGCGCCCAGCAAGGCTCCGGACCTGGGAGCCCCCGGGGTCGGAGGAGGGCGGGGGACAGGGCGCAGCCATCGAGATCTCCTTTCTTTCCTGGATGGGGACTCTGCCAAGGGCGGGGGATGGGAGGGACGATGCGGGGGCCCGAGGCCGCCTTGGGCCCAGGCGCCAGAGCTGTCAACGGCGCAAGGTGTCGCGGGTGTCCGGGGGAGGGGACGTGGTGCTGAGTGGCGTCCGGCACACCCCTCGCCGCATTCCGGGGCCGAGGACTGAGATAAAGGGGAGGGGGCGCACCAAGCTCCTGCTCAAGTGTCCACTTCCTACTCCTGAGGCTCCGGGATGGGGAGGGTCCGTGGCCCATGTCTCCTGGACTCCCTCCCTGCCTTATCCCGTCATTCTAACCATCTTAGCGGGAGTCTGGGATGGGGCCTCCACCTGAAGAGGTAAGACGTCGCCCCCTACTGGGTCCGCCGGCAGGGCGGGATGGTGGACACTGAGCGCCAAGGCAGGAGCGGGGGCCGGCAGCCGCACAGTAAGGGGGACACTGGGTGTGTGCGCCCCAGGTCGAAGATTTTGAGGGACGTGTTCAACCCAGAAATGCGGGGTCCATAAGGCACTCCGGATGTGTCCTGTGCAGCACACCGCATGTGTCCTGTGCAGCGCACCGCACATAGCTCTCTCCGCGTGCGCCCAGATCTGTACACATGCAGGTAGTGCACGCACACCTCTCTCCTTCCACTTAGCCACGGGAAGCAGCAGACTGGGGCACGCTACACTTACCACAGCCACACTTACATCATGTCCCCAAGTCACCTCCCTTACTCGGGTTCACACGTCCTCAGTTACAAGACCCTCCCTGGCCCCACCTCCCAACCCACACACCCTAAGAGTTAGCCGAGCCAGAGAAGAGGTGGGGGAAGGGAAGCAAAGAAAGACGAAAGCCACTGTCTTCCTTGAAGGCACTTGCCCCAGTGCATTTCTATCTGGGCGACCTAACCCAGCTACCCTGTGCCTCAGACCCCTGAGCACGGGGATTCAAGGAGGGGTCGGGCCGTGGTTAGGGCAGAGGAAGAATTACTCAGGAGGGGTCTGCCTTTCCTGGGGGCAGATAAGGAGGGAGAGAGAGTGAGGTCTTAATCTGCCCCGTCTTGGTTAACTTGGTTAATTACACTCTCCTGGGGGCAGAAAATTAGATCTCCCAAGTTAGTGCTTAAAAAGGGAGGTCAATGCATGGGTAGCCGGGGAGGGTTGAGACTGGGGGAGGGGCAGCTTCCCCTTAACTCCCTCATCTCATCTGCCCCAGAGGGGCAGTTGTATCCCCAAATGACCCATGTTGTGCCCCTCTCTATGCCTGAACTCTGACAGTAGGGACAGGTAAGGAGAGTAAGATGCTCCAGGCTGTGCTCAGTCCTCACGTGGATCCCCCTTCTCCAGGGTGGCCCCAGGGAGGGGGACCTGGACAGCAGCCCTTAGATCCAAGCCTGAGTGGCCAGATCCAGGATTAGAACCTGGAAAATCTGGGGCGACTGGAGTATTACAGTGGGAAGGGCTGCAGATTTAGAGTGTACGGGCAGACCTGGGGTCAAAGCCCAGCTTCCTTGGGCAGGTTGACCTCTCTGTCTCATGCCCTCACCTATAAAAAGGTGTAGTAATCATTCCTACCTCGTGGGATTGTTACAAACATTAAATCAGTGAACACGTGTAAAGTATGTGCCGGGATCATAGCAAGCACTCAAAAATGTCAGCTACTATTTTTATTAGTATTAAGTTTAAATAAAATATAGGAGCAGATAGGAAAATGTTGAATAGTGCTTGGTGCATAGCAGGGGTCGAAAAAACCAAGGCACGTGGGGAAATCCACCAACCCCATGCCACCCATGGGGATGCTGGACGTTTTGCTGCAGGCTTAGCCCAGGCCCTGGCCCACTTCCTGGGGTAAGGCCCTGGGGGCCTGGGCAGTTTGAAGGCAGTGAGGGTGTAGAACCTCATTAAGGGGTAGAGAACAGCAAGTTGCCAAGGGAGAATGGTTTCTGCATTTCTCCCCTTAGTACACTGATCCCGGGTCTGGTTGAGGGGGTGGGGCTCCTTCCCTCTGATATTCATTGGTTCTTAAAATGTTTACTGGATATCTACTATGTGCCAGGCATTAGGCTGGGCACGAGGGATGCTGGGACAAACAAAGACAGAGAGAGCTGCTGCTTCAAAGAGCTTAGTCTACGAGGGACATGGGTGCTATTCAAATAATCATACAAAGGAATGTATGTAATTACAAGTCAAGGTAAATGTTACAGGTGCAGGACCGAATCACAGCTCTAGGGACCTGAGCTAGTCTTGGGTAAGGCTGGGGGTCCTCTAAGCAGTTATCTGATGCCCAGCAGAGGGAGCTGGGGCCCCCATTACCATCCAGGTCCCTTTAACCTTTTGGTGTCTGATCCTGAGTATATCTTCATTCACTCCCTCCCTCCTTCCCTCACTCATTCATTTATTCAATAAAGCTTCAATGGGCCCTTCCATATGCCAGTCCCAGTGTATGGAGCTGGGGACATGGGGATGAACTGGCTACAGCTCCCACTCCCTGAAGGGGCACACAGCTCAGAGGCGGACACTGATATGTGCATCAACATATGACACTGACCAAGCCTTCCCTTCCCTATAGCCCATCCCCAACTTGGCCACCCGCTTCTCACAGCTCAGAGGGCCAGTCTCGGGCACCTGTTCCCAGCAGTCCTACAACCCCATAGTGTTCCTTGGGCACTCTCTGGTGCTCCTTCTGTAGCCCTCTGCTCTACCTTTACCCTCTGCAAGGCACATCTGTCCATCAGCGTTTCTGAGTACAGGGTGCCTTCTATCCCCTTTTCTACAGAAGAGCTCAGAGAGATTACGTGGCTTGCCTGAGGACACAAAGCCAGGCAACGGCAAAGCCAAAATCTGAATCAGCCCTAACCTATCCATGATTCTGCGTTCTTCCCACTCCATCAGGATACCTAAGGGAACCTGGAAGTGCTGCACCTGGGCCACTTCAGAATGACACTCTCCCCACCAAGAGGGTGCTCTGCACACATGGGCAAGGGCTGCCTCAGCTTGCCTTTTTCAGAGACGAGAGGAAAGAGAGAGGCGGAGAGCCGGGCCTCCAGGTGGAAGGTGCGTGTCAGGAGTACTGTCCAGGAATGGAATGGGGTTCCAGCTTGGGGGTGGGGGTACAGGTCTGACAGGCAAGCAGTTCTGTCCCTCCATGTTGCCTCCCGGTCCCTGTTTCTCATTAATCAGTCCCATCTCATGGAGCAGGAATGAAAACAGAGGATCTGGCTGGAGGCCTGCTGTGACATCAGCCCAGAGGTGGCTGCCTTGACCCTGACTACTGGGACCTGGGGAAGCCCCCTACCCGACTTTGTCCTGGCTTGACAGGGAGAAGGAGAGAGGGCAGAGGACAACTCTCCCTGAACCTCTCTCCCTTCTCCGGGCACTGAACTTGGGGCAAGTGAGAGAGGTGGCACTTGCCTGAAGAGACCAGGAAAGGGTGTGTCGGCAGGAATGTAGAGGGTATTGGAGCTGGCTTTCCCCAGACACCACTGCCTCCTACACACCCTGCCACTCCTTCCCCCACAGCCACCCCCAGCACCACTCCCAGGCATTGCTCTCCCAGCATCCTCTCCATGTCCTCCATTTCTACTACTGAAATCTTCCCTTGTACCCTTTTCT